TTTATCTAAATTCATCTAAACTTGGAAAAGGGAAATATTCGCTTGTTTATCCATTTTTTTAAATTGAGAGATCGTTTTCTAGTAAAATCAGACGGCTGTTACTTGATGGTCCAATACATGAGATAAACCGCTGTATTTAAATCACTGCAAAATTCTGTATTTAGATATCGGTCAAAAAAAAAAAAAGAAAAAAAGATTTTTTAAGGAATTAAAGAAAAATGTAAAAGAGAGAACGTGTCTGTTCAGAGTTAAAAAGATATGAAAAATATGGAAAAAAAAATTAAGATTTCAATGGAGAAATTCCCAGATCATTCTGTTGAATATATAAAGAATAAATTTTATATGGGGGATATAGAATTTTTATGGAAAGAAGAGAAATATTTTGAAAGAAAAGAAAATGCAAAAAATTTTCAATTTATCAAATGGAGAAAAATTTTTAAATAACATTAAAAACCAATAATGTTTTATAAATAGGTAAAGAATTTATGACAGACAAACATCTTCGAGAATCCATTTTGAGAGAAAAAGAAAAAAAAGAATGAAAATAGGTATTATAAAAGGGAATATGGATTCAAAAAAAAAAAAAAAAAGTTTACTTAAATGTAAAAACTTCAGAATTGCTTTTCACAAAATTAAAAGAAAAGAAAATTTTTTTGAAAAAAACGTCGTAAAAATCACGGATAAGAGAAAAATAAATTTTTATGGAGAAAAATAATTGAAAAGGAAAATGGTAAGAATGCATGAAGGAAATCTGAAAAAGTATGTAGAGTTTATATGAAAAAAGGAGAAAAAAGAACAGTTAACCAAAAATATATGCATAGAGATTTAAATGAAAGCAAAAAGAAATAAAATAAAAATTATAAATTATTGAATTTAAAAAAGAAAGAAAATTATATTTCATGTGGACAACATTTCAAGAAAACAATTTCAATGAAAAGAAAATATAAAAAATTATATATACAAAAATATGGAAATGATAAATAAAATTTTTGCTCATTTTGTGTCACTACTTTTTAGAATTTAAGTTCAAAACTAATTAACTTGAATTTTTGTCAAAAAGAGAATTTATCGAAATCAAACGTTGAAAGGAAACCTAAAAAAAAACATTTTCCTAACCATTTTTATTTAATATTTTAAAAAAAAACGATTTAATATCATTTTGAGAATGTTATTCAGAATAAAAAAGAAAATGAAAAATCAAGAGATGTGATGTTGATATTTGAGACTATGAAAAAGTTGATGACAAAAAAAAAGTTAAAGAAAAGTTTTTAAAATATCGTAAAGTTGAATGAAGGAAAGAAAAAATAGTTTTTAACTTTTTTTATTTATGCAAGCATTTATTCAACTAACAGATAGATAGAAACTTTTCAGAAAAAAAGTTACAAAAATAAAAAAAGACTACTTATGATTTTAATGTTTTTTATTTATTTAAAAAATATAAAAATTAGTTAAACTATTAATCTTTTTAGTATCAACTTATTAATCTAAATTATATTAAAGTAATTAAATTAGACTATAAAAAGGAAAAATATGAGAAAAAATCTAGACAAATGAGAAAAAAAATTGATGAGAGATACAAAAAAAGTTTGGGAAGAAAAGTAGAAAAATGAACTGCATCAAGTTTTTCATGGGAAGTCATCTTTAAAAATGATTTGAGGAAAATGTTAAAAACAGAAAAAAAAATGTTTAAAATCTTAATAAAAAAAATCATATTTAATAAAAACATTGGAAAAAAAGAAAGATTTACAGAATAACTGAGAACTAGCAAAAAAACATAAGAAAATGAAAGAAATTTTTATTATATCATATTTAACAAAAAAAACATGTATAAAAGAAAGGATAGCAAATTCCACTTTGGAACGAGGTAAAAAATAAGAAACCTAAATAAATTTGATAATTCTATATTATATTTAATAAAACATGTATAAAAAATGATTGAATATTAAAAATTGAACTCCCCAAACTAGTTTAAAAAGATAAAAAAAAAAAAATTTTAATTTTTTATATAAAATATTTAATAAAACATGTATAAAAAAAGGATTGTGTCCCACTATAAAAACGAGGTTAAAAAGTAAAAATAAATAAATTCCTATCTATAAAATGAATTTAAAATAAAACATGTATAAAAATATGATTGCTAAGCCGACTAAAGAACTAGAGAAAAATAAGAAAAACAAAAGAAATAGGTTTTGAATATCATATTTAATAAAACATGTATAAAAAGAAGGATTTTCAACCAAGAACGAGGATTAAAAGATAAGAAAAAACAAATAAATTTTCTAATCATAGAAAATAAAACATCATTAAAAAAAGGACAAAACAAAGCCGACGTTAGAACTAGAGTAAAAAATCTTAAAAAAAAAGAAATTTTTCTATATCAATTTAATAAAACATGTATTTTGATTGTGGCCCTTTAAAAAAGAGGTTAAAAGATAAAAGATAAGAAATATCAAATAAAAAAAACATGTATAAATCAGGATTTAATAAAAGAGTAAAATGATGTATAAATCATATTTAAAAAAACATGTATAAAAGAAAATTTTATGAAATTATATCATAAAAAATAAGAAAAAAAAATAAATTCCTTCTATATCATATTTAATAAATTGTATAAAAACAGCCGACTTAGAACATTTCAAAAGATTGAAAAGGAAATCTATATCATATTTAATAAAACATGTATAAAAGAAGGATTGTGGCCCACTGTGGAACGAGGTTAAAAGATAAGAAAAACAAATAAATTCCTTCTATATCATATTTAATAAAACATGTATAAAAGAAGGATTGCAGCCGACTGTAGAACTAGAGTAAAAGATAAGAAAAACAAAGAAATTCTTTCTATATCATATTTAATAAAACATGTATAAAAGAAGGATTGTGGCCCACTGTGGAACGAGGTTAAAAGATAAGAAAAACAAATAAATTCCTTCTATATCATATTTAATAAAACATGTATAAATGAAAGATTGCAGCCCACTGTGGAACGAGGTTAAAAGATAAGAAAAACAAAGATATTCTTCCTTTATCATATTTAATAAAACATGTATAAATGAAAGATTGCAGCCCACTGTGGAACGAGGTTAAAAGATAAGAAAAACAAAGAACTGAAACAACTGAGATGAATATTGATGTTTGGGCTGAAGAAAAGGAAAGGTAGTACCCGTGATTTGATTAATATCCAGCCTAATCATGACAGAATATATTGCTCTCACGATATATTTACCCTCCAACATAGAATAGGCGGCGCATGAGGCAGTTTCGTCCGAGAGAGCAAATCGGTACTAAACTAAAACTGTAACCTAAAAACTCGATTTATGTGCTTAAACCGTCTCGAGACAGTCATATGGATGTCATGCATGGCATGGCAACAAAAACGTTCAGAAATATCTAAGATGAAGAAAGATGTACACAATAGCATTCAGAGATCATTGCTTTTTTAAAAGGCTTTGAGCGAATTAAATATTTACATCTTTGCTAGGATCATGCTTCTTCGAATCTTGTAAACAGGCTTCTGAATAACAAACGAAATAACTGTATCAAATAACATAAACAATATCACTTGAGGACAACCAATAACAGCAACAACTAAAATGTATAGCTCATGTAATGCGAAGAGAAAATAATGACAAAATCAAAATTTAGACGTACCACAGATTTTACAAATGTGGGAAAGGAAACCTCCATCAATTTTTCTGTCTAGAATCTATCATACATATCTATAAGTCAGCCTTTCATCCATGCTTAAAATATTGCCGTCACATATGGTCCGGTGTCCCTGCTATTTAACTTGAGCTCCTTGATAAAACACAAAGAAGAATCAGCAATATTATTGGCACTGATCTGTCGGCTCAGCTTCAATCTATTTTCCATTGCCGTAATGTTGGCTTTCTTTGTCTTGTCTATAAAAACTTTCTTAGATATTTTTCGGATGATCTCTTCGTTATGATCACTGGACTAAGTAAATACTAGACTGACATCGAAATTTAATCAATTTACAGTTGAGCTGGCAAGAGGTTGCTGTAAATCCTATGCGAAAAGTTTAATTTCTCGCATTTCTCGCTTGGGGAACTCAATTCCAGTTCCATGCTTTCCAGTTAACTTAAATCTGCAAAAAATTTAATGCAATGTTAATCGCTATCTAATATCGTCCTGATTACACATTTTCTTTCCACTCCTTATTAATGTTTTTGTTCCTAGTGATTCCACAGCCTGCAACCCTTTGTGTCTTAGAAGCGTTACTACCTTGCATGGGGTGATAACGACTTTTCAAAAAAATACTGGAAAATGTCATAACGCTTAATAAACTTGAGAAAGCTATTTTCCTGAAAACATTGTTTTAAGAGAAAATGTTTATAATATAAGTAGCACTGGCTGATCGGTCAGTGAATACCAAATATTTCTTTACAAAAAACTACTAGTAATACCATTGCCATAATATCTTTGTCAATAAATGTCATTCAATGTTCGACAGTAATCATATGGATCGAGAAATACGTAGTGAAAAACCTTTTGATATAACATAGTTCAAGTGATCCGCATAATAGAATTACTGACAGCAGAGAAAATAATAAGGAGATAAGCGCTTGGTGTGAAAGTTCAAAGGGCATGCCCAACAAGGGAAGATGAAAGAAAAAGACTGACATATTCGGAGAATTTCAGTTATAGATTGACTATACTCTATAAGCAATGAAAGAGAATCTAGTTACTGAAAACAAGATATCAAAGCCTATTACAAATCGTATACGGCCTTCTCAGCTGTAACCTTATCAAAGCAAGAAACAATAAAACACACACACACACACACAGATATATATATATATATATATATATATATATATATATATATAAAGAATATCGGCAGGTGCGAAAGTTGAGAAAGAAAGTAGAATAGCAACTGTACCTCATATCACTGCAAAACTATAATTACATATATATGAATTTTTGTAATGATTTCTCTGTTCTGCCAGCACAAACAAACAAATACCCACGCGCACAGATAGTTATATATTAACAGAATTAGATAGATAGATAGATAGATAGATAGATAGATAGATAGATAGATAGATAGATAGATATGAAGAGAGTGGGTTAGTGGATTGGAATATAGATATGATCAGAATAGGACAATGGGTTGATAGATAGATAGATCGGAAGAGATGGATAGATTGATAGATGGGAAAATGAGTCAGATAACCAGATAGGAAAATGAAATATATAGCTAGATAGAGTGATAGGGATGAAAATGAGAAAAAGAAAGAAAGAAAGAAAGAAAGAAAGAAAGAAAGAAAGAAAGTATATGAAAAGAATGAAAGAGAGAGATAGATATGGGAAGAGATTGAGATGGAAATAGATAGATAGACATAGATACTTATGAACAGAATGAGATAGGAAGATCGATAGATAGATAGGGAGATAGATACAGATAGATTCGAGCAGAATGAGAGACACATAGATAGACAGCTACATAGATATGAAATGAAAGAGATAGACAGAGAAAGATAGATGTGAACAGAATGAGATGCATAGAGATAGATATGAACAAAATAAGATAGGCTGAGATAGATATTATCGGAATGATATAGAGATAAAAGGATATGAACAAAACGAGATAGATAAATAGATAGATACCTACATACATACATATATACATACACCGTCCACAGATTAACACCCAAACATTCTGAAATGTTCTATTGGGGCATTCGGCGCGAATGCTAAGCAGTACAGCATGTCCACTATTTACATTATTCGGACTATTGTCCTCATCTTTGTCGCCATATTTATTACAACGTTTCGGCCGTTGTAAGCTCTAGCCTTCTTCAGGTGGTTGGAATGTCGAATTGAACTCTTTATTTAGCTCACTGGGGTAGACTGTTCTAGTTCCACATGCCCTGTTTAATGGATGTCAGTTATCAGTTATTTCCTGTTAATTCCCCTCTCCAAGTTTTTTTGGGAAACATGGGACAGTGGTTAAAGACGTTGATTTGATCCAGTGAGAGGACCCAAAGAGTGTGGAGAATTTTATTGAATTAACCATTTCAAACTAATATGAAACACACACACACATATTATATATATAAAATGTGTTAATTTATATATATATATATATATATATATATATATATATATATATGAAGAAATATAGTCTTAAGGTGTGCTATATTTATTGGGATAAAGTGCTCAATATCAGAGATAGATATGTAAATAAATAAATATAAAAGTGAACATAGAAGTCAACACTTAGAGGCGACAGTCTGTTTCATGCTATATGCAATCGTCAGGCCACGTGTGCTGTTATTTTTCTCGGCTATTTATATATATACGGGTCAAAAAAGGTATTGTGGGTAGTCTATTATGGCGGTTATTTTACCGGAAGTCGTTTATTTATTTATTTGGGTTAAATTATTTTATTTTTGTTTTTATTTATTTTTTATTTTTCTTATCATTTATTTATTTATTTTTAATCGGTGTTTTTATTAACGTAGTAAAATTTGTTTTATATCACTTATTTTATAGTTTTGTTTTTTCGTTTGAGAATTTAATTAAATCTATTTATTCGGTTTTTGGGGCTGATTGTTGTAGTTTATTCTAACTATTATTTTGGTGGGAACAGTTTTTAATTTGTACTTATTTGGATTGATTATCTTTATTTGTTTTTTCTAACGGTAACTTTATCGGGATTGGTTTCTTTATTTATTTGGATGAATTTAGATTAATTTATTTTACTTGGTTTTATTTATTTGTATATTTTCTCTTTTCGGTTTTTCGGTTTTTATATAAATAAAGTAAATAATAAACAGATTAGCAAACCATTATGACCAAAATATTAGTTAGACAAAAACCGGAAGAAAAAAAAATACTACGTTACTTAAAAACTGCTCTTTTGATGATGAGATAGTGTTACGGATTAAGAAGGCCTGAGATGCATTTGCAACTCTCAAGTTCCGTGTCTGAAGTCAGAAGAACATAATAAAGTAGATAAAAATTAAATATATAATGCCTATTATGATGAATTCTATATTCGAATATTGAGGCATGGTAGTCTATAGCAAACTGAAGATTTTGGAATTTTTTTTTTAATCAACGATGTTCTTCTTCTTTTGTTGAAATATATATTGGATGTCTCATTTATTTTGATTCTGTTGTTCACAAAGGGCCAAGTCATCCTGTAAAGAAATTTTTCCTACACAAATGAAGATTGTGATGGACAGGCCATGTTATTCTTATGGAAGATGAGAAAATGCCAAAACAATTAATGTATGCGGAATTGGAAATGGGAAAAGCCAACAATCACAAGCCAAATCTTCGTTACAATGATTGCCTTAAAGATTTACTATACAAGTGCAATATTGTTCTGAAGAATTGTGAGACATTATCTGAAGCGAACTGGTATTGCTGATTGTGCAAGATCTTCCATGAGGCATCACAAAAATATGCAGAACTGAAGAGAGTAATTCGGAAGGGATCCCTGAATTGCCATGATGTGCAAATCCGACCATGTGTCAAATGCAATCGGATATGCCTGTGCAGAGCACATCAGATTAGTTACCAGAAATCACATCAACACCACCACAAATCTATTGCATTAATAATGGATGCTTTTTGAAATGCTTTGAAATAAGAGTGTGAAACTCCAGGAATATAATGTTTCATTGATTACTAAGGCATATAAATTAAGATTTTATGTTTGTGTGACCTCAGATTAGAATTAATGATGTTCAAAGTCAACTTTAACCACCCGGAAAATTTGACATTTTATATTTAAACTGAAAAAATGCAGATCGATAGCTTGCTTTATGAGCCACTGTCGTTCACACAACAAATGAATTCAGTGTTGTTTGTGAGGGGAGTTTAACTGATGGAGTGAACATGTCTGTATTGTCATACATGTTTTGTGATTCGACAGACACTATATATGCAATAATTACCAACAAGTTCCAGATATGTTTAATGACAAATAGCACATGGCTTTTTTACGGAATATTTCTATTTTTTTGTTTTTATTTGAAAATGAAAAAGGATATGAGACATGGGTCACTTACAGGATTTTGAATATGAATATAAGACATGGGCACACATGAAATGTTTGGAGAAACTTCACTAATAGTGTCTCAACCGTATATTGCAAAATGACTCCTTTATGCTGAAAAAGAGCAGTATGCAATGGTAGGAGAGATCTTGGAAAGAATTGTGCTGCACATCAGTAACACAAGAGTGATATTCGTAAGGGTCATGTTAATTTTCCTAAAAATCTTGTTACAAAATTTGATCTAATGTCCAATAAATATGGTCGCGTCTGCTTAAGTAGATTAGTCCTAAAAACATCATCAACGACGCCATATAATGAGAGGAGGCATTCCCTGCGGCATTTATGTATCAACTACTGCAAATGTCGCTCACCGTTGCCACAACTGCACAAGACAATGTAAAACCCTGAGGAAAAAAAATAAAATAAAAATAATCACTGTGCATCAGTCGTAGATATTGGATGGATTTGTGTCAATGCAATAATATATGTATAATAATCAGACACTTAGTTCCTACTTTCCATCTGAACTTTATAAATTCAGGATATGCGGGCGCTTTTTTTTGTAATTGGATAGTCAAATTGCTTTATTGATAGATATTTACCAAGCAGAGCGTATTTTAGGATGAAGGCAGACGAGAAGGTATAAATCGTTGGAAATTGTTTTAGATTCAATCTAGGAATGATTTCATTGTAGGTCAATGTTTTCACTATGCCAAACCAAATCCGTATGAAGCATATTAGATGAGTGGTGTAACTATCTGTTGAGGCGAGCCGCCAGGTGTGGTGAATTAGGATCTGAATATATGGAATAAAATATATATTTTATGGCTCAAATTAAATCTACTTGGTCGATTAAATATAATATAATGTTGGCTGAAAAGCCAACAGAATGTCAACTATGTATACATAAGACAATTTTGGAAAAAAATGTTTCGGGTTTAAATAAGTTTTGAAAATCCAGTTAAATAAGTTTAATTGATTTATTTTAATTCATATATTCATTAAAAATTAAATATTGTTTTTATAATCTTACTTATTATAAAACGCAGATTGTGTGTGTTTGTCTGTACGTTTATATATTGGATCGGATTTCCTACATCTTTCAACCGATATCAACAAAACTTCACAGGACTACGTAAAATTACCTTTGCGGGGGTTCTGACAGCGCCAAAAATTGGAAAAACACAATTATTTTTAAAACGAAATCAATTTGAAAACACGATAAAACACGATTCTGTCGCCAGAATGAAAGGGGACAACTCATATCGAGTTATACATTATAAAAAACCAGGTTGTTTGGTTGTTTGTGTGTGTGTGTGTTTGTTTATATATGGGATCGGATTTCCTACATTTTTCAACCGATTTCAACAAAACTTCACTTTTTTTTTGGCAGGTAGTGTTTTCTTATATGTCTTGCACACTTTTTTCTTTATTTTTACATTCAGAATGCTTTAAAAATTCCATTTACAAGGCAATTGTTTATAATAAAATTCTATTCAATCGATAGACTCATAACGATTGAAAACATTATTTTTGTTTGAGTTTGGGTTTGACCAATTTAAAAAAAAAAAAAAAAAAAAAAAAAAACTAATTAAGACATGCGTGTCCGTCAACCTTAAACAATAATCTTTGTCAATATTATTTTTCAGTCTTTATGATGGTCGATACTTGATCTATCTCTTACTGTTATATCCCCGGGCAACGCCGGGCTCTACTGCTAGTCACTTATATAGCAATCGTTATACTGTTACGACTACCGTAATATCATTCAGAAAAAGAACTGCCTAATTATTACATATCCTCTCATCTGTTAACGTAGATTTTACTAAGAATCACTTCTAAATAAAATAAACAATAAAAATATAACGGATCTTCATAAATTTAAGCAGATTATATTTGTAAAAGTACAACGGGGAGATTGTTATATAAAATGGCCAACGCCGGGTAGCCATTTTTGTTATAATATAAATG